TTGGTGTTTATTCTAACTGCTTGAGAAATACCCTTTCATCTCTTTTTATTTATTTTTTTCTTCCTTTCTTTCTTTTGATATTGTAGAAAAGGAATTTTTTAAGAGCGTAATAGGTGCTGGTTGAAGAATGTGGTGGCTCTATGTATTGGTTGCCTTATGTGTCCTCATTGCAGCTGCAGTGACTGTGTTGAAGGGATCACGGGGAGGTAATGTGAAATTGGACCAAGAAGAACATCATCAAAGCCATGATTCTGGGCTAAGTGCTTCTCGTGTGCGCCGCGCAAGAAAAGAAGATTAAAGGAGACTGCAAAACAGAAGTCATGAATTACTTCTGTTGTTTCTTCTTTGATTTGCGTGGGGTTTTTTTTTTTTTTTTTTGTGGATGCCTTGTTGGTTTCTTTTGTTTCATATAATATGGGGATTAACTTCCCTTGGTATGACTAAGTGATGTAGTGTAGACTTTTTGCTCCTTTTTTTTTTCTTTTGGGGTTTTTTTTTTTGTTCATGTTAATACCTTTTATTCTATATTTTTTATTTCTTTTGGCTTTGTGTACTTATTTTTTTTTTTTTTTCTTCTTCTTTCCTTTGACGTCTTCGTGATAAGATCTTATATTGGTAATAGTAGATTTCTGAGAAGAGATGTCTAATCCGGCTTCTCCTGCGGCCCATTATAGCCTTGACACTCTTCGTAGTGTGGGTTTACTTCCCGCACAAGTGGGACTCTCACGACAGCCTCGACTGCGAACACATGTTGGTCATATTAAAGGCCTCGTCTACCCACTTCCCTACTATGCCATGTGGAGAGGTAATCACACAAAGTATACATACAATAAAAGCACTGTCTCACGATGGGGAGAAGGGGAAACACATCGTATGTATCATCAACACTATTCACATGCGAAGTGTCCAACTGATTACGGTCGTGGAGGTCGTGAATTTGCGTATTTAAGTGTGAAACGTGGAAAACTAGTAAAGAAACCATTACCAGAAGTTCAGTATGTTGCGAAAGGTTCAAAGCCAACATGGCTTTTTAAGTCTTGGCATACTCCACTTAGTTCCCTAGCCATGTGGGAACGAGAAGTGCAGTATCCAGAACATATTCCAGAACATATAGGTGCAAAACGACCTTTAACAGTATTAGCACCACGTACAATGCATCGATATTTATTTCTTATGCATATGGAAAAAATAACGATTACGGTATCACCTTTTCTTTTTGGTTATGGAGATACATTACAAAAAGCCGTTCTAGACTTTTATAGACGTGCTATTAGTGCTCGTGCACCGTTTCCTAAAGATAAGATATTTCTTTTTTATGCTATTGATTGCATTACCCCACGTATTGAAGTAACTTGGTTAGATGGTACTACCTATGTGCCTCCTGTATTAGAAGGTGTGAAACCACATGATCTTATTCAGATGGTAATGGAAGAGGCGTGGTTAGCAGCAGATCGTATGAGTGCTGAAGGACGTGTTTTGAACCCAATAGCCATTGATGATTACAAATGGGATCAACTCATTGTGTTTAAAAAGGCACGAGACAAGGAAGCAGCGAAGGGAGGATCAAAGAAGAAGTAGGTATGAAATGAAGAAAAAAGAAAGAAAAAAAAAAATAGCCAAGAACGAGAAGAAAAATATATATATATCTTTTAGCTATGAGTGTGTGAAAAAATAATAAATAAATAAATAAATAATGACGCTGTTTTTGAGATGAAAAGTTATTTTCTTTTCTTTTTTTTCCTTTTTTTCTTCTTTTCTGTTCTATATTACCTTTTTGCAGCAGGTGAAAAAAAAGCAAAAAGTAACAGAGTCTCAGACAACGGAGTATCCATATATATCTATCTATATATTATATAATAGATAGATAGATAGATATATACTTGTGCTGACAAGAGAAAGAAAAAGAGAGAAAATAGGGTCAAGGACAGTAAGTGGGTGGATTAGTACCACACAGAACTGTTTCAAGACATCCATATAGACGTGGTGTGATTGGAGAAGAAAAAGACAATAACTCTTATTCCACCATCATTGCCGTACACAGAAAAAAAAAAAAAAAACAAGCAGAAGGAAAAGAATCGGCACAAGAAAGAGAAAAAAAAAAAGAAAAACAAGGATATACAAGAACGAAAAAATAAAGAAGAAAAAAAAAATAGAAAACAAATAAAACTTCTCAATAACAAGAAGAAGAAAAAAAAAAAGAAAGAAAGAAAAAAAAAAAAACACACTAAGAAAATTTATTGTGAGCTGTGATGGACGTATTTCGTTCATCTGTTAGTGGTACATGTAATGGTGGTGGTCTCTCCCATCTCCCGCAGTCCCCATCAACGGCCACCTGTGCCGCCCCACCGCTCTCCTCCACCATCTCCACAACTTCTCCACCCAACATCACGACAACGACGACTAACACCGCTGCGAATACCCACACACACGCACATGCATATAGTAACATCATGGGTGGATTACGACCACACACCTCCATGCACTTCACAGCAGGTCCATTCGACGTAGGACCCAGTGAAGCTGCACGATTGGAGGAATTACGGAATATACTGCGATTATTGGATGATGTCTCTCGTGGACGACATCATGTTGTTTGGGCCGAACTTGTGGATCCCCGTCAACCAGTGGAGTCCGCACGAAAAATTACGGCAGCACTTGTACAACATCCAGCTTCTTCAGGTGTTATTGAGGCCATCGCGGCGTGTATTACAACACCTGCTCATCTTGCTATTGTTGCCGCACTGGAGGCACCATTCCGAGTGCAGGTTCGAGATGCTGTGCTGCAGGAACTACTCACAGCACTCACTACTTCTCGCAACCCGGGTCCAATGCCCGTCTGTTCCGAAATGCTTGCAGAGATGGTACGGCTTAATCTTGTTGTATTGCGTGGTGTGGCGACAACACTTGAAAAGCTTTTAGATTCCCCCGACACAAGACGTGCAGCCATTGCTGTGCTTGGCAGACTAGCAGATCAGAATCGCGGTGATGAATTGTTTCTTCAGGTGGTACAGAATGTGGAGCCACTGGTGCGGCGCATAAAGGAACCAGAGTATGACTATGATTGTATTACCATTGCCCGTTTACTGGGATGGAGTACCGCAGAGAGAACAGGAGCAGGAGGAACAACAACAACAGCAGCCGCACCATCGCTGGTGCCAGTAAAAACACTAGAGCAATCCTGTGCTGTCACCTCTATGGCGTATTTCCGCCAACGTGATGAACTTGTTTCAGCGACGTGTGATGGATCAGTTGTTATTTGGGGAAGTCCAAACCCTATTACTGGGGATGTAAAGCCTTCTGTTACGATAGATCTCCCACAACAGTGTGTACCTATAGCCATGGATGGTCCACCACGTGGGAACTACTTGGTTATCGCAGGTATGCCATTTCCATCAGGAAACCTACGTGCTATGATGAATGAAGGTATTAATGGTTCTGATAATAATAATAGTAGTAATAATAATAATAATAACACCACCAGCAACGGTAGCGGGAGCAGTAAAAAACGGAATATTTTATCATCACCTGCCAAAGGACCTGTATTACGTTTTCTAACTTGCAATGAGTCTACCGGATCATGGGCAAATGGTGAGACCATTACACGAAAGGAACATGTAACACTAACTGCAGTAGCTGCTCTTTCAAACCTTGTTGTGTGTACCGCAGAAAGTATACCATCTGAACGATTAACAGAATCTGGATTACAACACGATTTATTACTTCTTAATGGTCATACCGCACAACCATTGCGACGATTTGAACATGTTCATGATGATTACACCACTGTTCTTCGTGTGGGTGAAGAGGGTGAACATGTGTTGCTTTCTGGTTCACGTGATTGTGTGGTAAAGGTATGGGATACACGTAGCAGCAGTAGCGGTGGTAATCGTGCTGCTCTCTCTACAGCCGTAGCTGCAGGCACCACCACCACAACAGGAGGAACCGCCTTTACACCAACGCATCGATTGAAGCACACACATACAGATACAATCACCGCCATTCTCCCACACCGCAAGGCGTTATTAACAGCATCTTTAGATGGATCTCTTCTTATGTGGGATACACGCCGAATGACGGCCCCAGTATGGGAAACACATATGACAGCACCAATTATTGATGTTGCTCCTGCAGAAGGTGCGAATATTGTTGTCTCTACTGCACGTGGTCTTACACTTCTTTCTCTTGAGTCTCACAGAGCGCAGGATATTATTTCAAATGTTGTCCACACACAACTGCGGTCCAACGCGGATGGTACGGTCATCTTTGCAGCGGGAGGCATTAACAATAGTAGTAATAGTAGTAGTGGTGCTGGCGGTGGGGTTACGGTGTATGCGGTGCGACGGTAGAGAGAGGGAGAAAAAGAAAGAAAAAAGAAAAAAAGAGAAGGAGAGAGAAGGAGAGAGAGAGAGAGAGAGGTACTTTGGGTGTGTGGTATGTTCACAAATTGAAAGAAAAAGGAATGGAAAGAAAATCGAGGATGATAGAAAAAAGAAAAAAAAAAAGAAAGAGAGGAGGATGGAGAGAGAAAAAAAAAAAAAAAAAAAAACAACGATTACCAAACTATGCAAGGCAAGTTAAGTAGCAAATATTACGGAAGGACAGAAGGAAAAAAAAAGGAGAAGGAATGAAGAATGGGGAAGAAAAAAAAAAACAAAAAGGAGAAGGAATGAAGAATGGGGAAGAAAAAAAAAAACAAAAAAAAAAAACGAAAAAAAAATACAAGAAAATAAAGAATACCACAAAATAGAAGACATGAATGAGTGGAGTGTGCAAACACTTCTCAGTAGGGGAGTAAAGTAATTGGGAGTGAAGAAAAAAAAAAAGGAATGGGGACTGATAATAGACTGATAATATATTTATATATATATATATATATATATATATATATATATTCTGATCGCATGTGATGCGTAATGGTAACGAAGTGCCGCCATTAACTTTCCACATTTTTTTTTTCTTCTTTAGATCTCTCAATTTCTTTCCCTTTGCATTCATTCATTTCTCCATCGTTAGGCTACCCCTTCCATTTCCATTTTACACAAACATAAACCAACACAAAGCACACACACACACACACAGACACTCTCTCTCACTCATCATCATTGACTGGTTTGACTGAGATATACCAATAGCGTCATTCAAAATACTTTTGGTGTTTCTCTCTCTGTCTGTCTGTGTGTGTGTGTTTCTGTATTTGCCTCTGCAATCACTTGTTTAATTGATTTTCTCTTTTTTTTTCGTTTGTTTGTTTTTTTTATTTTATTTAATCTGTGTCTCTTTCTGTCTCTCTCGTTGTTTGTGTTTGTGTGGTTCTTCTTTTACTTGGTATTTCCTTGTGTTTTATTGTATGTATTTTTTTTCTTTTTTTTTTTTCTTCTTCTTCTTCTTCTTTGGGGTTTTCGTAGGGAAAGGTACTGATTTATACTCACAGGGGTGGGAAGGATAGTAACTGGATAAAGGGGTGGAAAAGGCAAAGAGAGTGTGAGAAAAGGAAAAGAAGAAATTGTTTTTTTTTTTCTTTTTTTTTCTTCTCTTTCTTATTTATTCTCCTTCACTGATTCTCACATTTATTTATTATTGAAGAGTTTATTGTTCCTTCTTCGTATATTGGAGTCTGAGGTCCTTGTTCTCTCTTTTGTTTTTTTTCTTTATCTCACTTAAACTTGTGTTTTAAATACATATAGGGCTTTTACTTTATCGCCCCCCATCACCGTACGAATCCACATACACACATATATATACTCTCTCTATATCTATTTATTTATTTATTTATTTATTTATTTATTTATTTATTTATTTCTGAGAGATTGTGTGTATTTGAATTCAAATTTGTTATCTTGTTTGTTCTCTCATGTTTCGTGCACGGCGGCTGGCGGTATTACCGCACCGGTGCCACACACGACAACAAGAACAACAACAATTGTTATTATTATTAACATCATCATCATCATCTTCATCATCTTCATTATCATTATCTCAACAGTGCCGTCACTATACACCTATTTGGCAGCCGGACCCTGCGGTCAATCACGTGACATCACTCCGAGATGAGGATGAATGCCGTACATTATGGGGATCCACATCATCAAAAACAAAAACAACAAAAACAAAAAGAAAAGGAGAAGAGGGAGAAGTAATCACAGCAGCAACCGCAAAAGAAACTCTATCACGAGCAGGAGTTCCCATTCCAAACGTGGCTGCTGCTGTGGAAGCTTGGATTCGCTTTGGGAATGATCCCGTACTTCATACCGCTATTCCTGTCATGCATGAGGGACAGTATCTACCTCCAACCATCCTAACAACAACAACAACAAGAACAACATTAAGAGGAAATGCCTTAAAGGGAGAAGGAGATTCCACACTTCCACAATCCACTTCACCCTTTGCATATGCAGAAGATTACATGGGAACAAATATGGTGTTTGGTTCACCAGAGCATGTAAAGGATAGTGTTACGGTGTGGGCCAATTACTTTGAACGGCGTTACACCAATCAACTTCGACAATCTCGCCGTACAGTAGCGAATCATGTGGGTTTGGTAAATGCACCGGAAGTCTTTACAGATGAAGCGGATCGTCCAGAAACAAAATGGTCTCAAGATACTTTTTTCCGTGAACGTGCATACATGGCAGAGAAGTTTTTAAAAGAAAAGGTTTCCAATATGCAACAGTTTGAACGTGTATTGAAACGATCAGGTGTAGATGCTTATATAGCCTTTCATGATGCCTTACAACAACAAACACAAATGTTGATTCCACTTCCATCGCCAAGTATATGGCACTATGAAGGAGCCCGTCGTACACAATGGGCAGAGAAATTTATTCCTCTTTCACAAGAATCTTTACAATTCTTTGAAGAAGTGCTTGCTGCGGATTTGCAAAGATTACACCGTACACCAGAGAAAATTCTTCAAAGTGTGTCTGCTGTATTTGCAGAAGTTGGTAAAGTGTTGGTGCGACGACATCATAGATGTCTTAACGGGCGTACATGGTCAAGTCTTACATCAGAGGAAAAAGATACATTTTGTATGAAGGAAGTATGGCGTTGGCAACAACAAGTGATAACAGGAGACTTTGACCCAAAAGGTGAAATGGAAAACTCAACAGAAGAATCCCCAGAATGGCAAAGTGAACATGATACTATTATGCAACTTATGAATACTAAAATAGATGATCTAAGTTTTACAGCATTAGACTTTTGGAAACATACATTACGTTGTGAAGAGATGGAAACAGAACATATTCATACAGAGAAACGTATACGTGATATCAGTGCAGCTGCATGGAAGGCATTATATGATACCACACCTTTTGAAATGATAATAAATGGAAAGGTAGAATCTATTGCACGTGGACAACTAGATATGAGTGCATCTGTATTTAGACCTTATAGTAATGATATTTGGTGTCAAATAAATTATGCAAAGTTTGGGGCTTCCACAATTACACAACATACCACCACTGCACGTAGACAATTACTCTTTTTTCATGCTGGCTCTTTAAAGGAAGTGGCAGCAACGGCAACTTTATATTATGCCACTAAACCACTCAGTCATTCTTTGGATTACTCTTCTCCTTATAAATATCGTCGATCACTGGTTGGATTATGTACAACCTACGGTGTAGATATGGCTCATGCTACTCAACGACCACTTCTTCTTAGTGCCGCCCATCTCGCCCGTGCGGAGGATTTAATTCGAACAGTCGTCCTTCAAGCGGCTCGTCCATTTGGTGAACGTCGACGGGCGGCAATCAAACAACGCCGGACAAATTATCAACGACTTTTGGTGCCGGTAGAAAAGGTGGAAGTTTTCGCTGCAAGAGCGGCTACATCAGATTTACTCACAAAAGGGGCAGATCCAGCAGAGACATTGGAAGTGAAAAGAGAAAAAGTAAATATGTGGCCACTTGGATCTAGACGAGCGATATCCTATGATTGGCAAACTTCACATCTTGAAAAATTAAAGAAAGCTATGCCGGATATGGGAGTTCCCTTAACAGCTCAGCGTGTGAAAGATATAGATGCTATTAAACGATCTGCTTTTTTGGAGATTTCACTTTGGCGCCGAGTTACACCAGAAGAGAAGAAACAACGACGTGAACAGTTAGAGAAGGAAAAACAACATGTAGATGAACTTGTACGAACGATTCCACAACTTGCACAGGTGCAAAAATACGCTAATTCTCTTTATAACCGTATTGAAGAGAAGGTATTATTGCCTATTAATAATACTACTACTACTACTACTACTAATAATAATAATAATAATACGGACAAAAAGGATAATGTTAATGTAAAGAATGATTCTGATGATGATTCCATGTGGGAGTTTGCTGTTATGTTAGATGATCGTATCGTTCTTAATGTAGAACAGGAAGTAGAATTATATCTTCCTTTCGCAGATGCAAATGGTGTACCACTTCCTCAAGGTGAGTATCGGGTGCGGGTACGTGCATATGATACAGATATAAATCCCACACTCGATCCCATACGCTGTAGTGAATCCTTCTCTACACCTTTGCAGGTATTTGATGCACTTCCGCAGCTTATTGAGCAATTCTTTTCTTCTTCCTCTTCTAAATCATCATCTGCATCATCCATAACGCAAATTCCAGGATCTATGTTTATTCCCTTCTGTGAGTTTCTGCGTGAGGCTGGTGTAGAAGTACCACTACGGTGTGAATTTGAGGCTGGTCAAGCCCTTTCCTCTGGTGGAGATGTATACATGGACTACTTTCTCCACCTTCTTCGTAGTAGTGGTAATAGTAATGGTGGTATGAGTGCTGCGATAGATGAAGATATATCAATAGCGGATAGTGATTTATTAGAGCCATCGTGTGCGGCGCATTGGGCAGTTCATCATCCGGGAGCAACAGCGGAGGAATGGGCGGAGGCCCGACGTCGTGTGTTAACAAGAGCATGGCGAGAAGAAAGAGAATGGTGGTGGGAACTCAGTAAAGGAACAGCAATCCCATCAACATCAACATCAACAGGAATGGGAAGAGGAAGAGGTGTGTTGGATACCGCAGATATGGCAACAGCGAGTACAAATAGTGGAATGCGTGGTGGTCTCACTCTTCCTTCACTTCCCGCAGCTCGGCGAGATGAAATTCTGCGAGTGACTACACTTACAGCAACGGCGGAGTATACAAATATGCGCAGTGGAATTACAGCGGTGTGTGATGTAGACGGTACAGGCGCCGCCGTATCACTTCAACTCACCAACACGGACTATAATAATCATAATCATAATAATAATAACAATAATGATAATAATAAGAGAAATAACAGTGATATGTGTGATATTGACGATGCCCTCGCTACTGCACAGCATGCTCTTCGAAGTGCACAAGACCGTCACAATACACTCGCTGCCTTCCGTCTCGGTACACTTTCTAAACAAAGCCAAATGCTTCTCTTCTGTGGTATTAACGCCACAGAGTTTGCCGGTAAGTACGCCCGCACTTATGCCTATGCGTTTACAAAGGCAAAGAAGGAACTTGCAGAAGTGGCGTTGTCGGGTCGTGTTGTGCCTGGTGTGCGGGATGGACCGGCAGGTATTTCCGCAGATGAGGAGCGTCTCTCAGAGCGGGAGAGTGTTGATCGCTTTGCATCTTCCACACATCCCGAGCAGCGCAAGACACAGTTTGTTACACGTATAGGACCAGGCGGTGTGCCGATGGAAGATCCCACACCGGAACAGATGTCAGATTGGGGTAGATGATAGTGATAATGATAATGATAATAGTGATGATAATGATAATGATGATGATTGGTTGCTATTGGTAGTTGGTGTTGGTATTGCGAAACAGGAGAGAACCCCCTTCTATATATATATATATAGATATATCTGTTTGTGTAAGTGTATCATCTATGGGAGTGGGTATTCGGAGTTAAGGGGTCATATCGCACAGCGGTAATAGGCAGAGGTGTGTGTGTGTGTGGTGGTGGGTGGATGGGTGGAATAAACCCTCTCACTCTTTTTTCTTCTCTAAGAGAAGAAAGAAAAACAAAAAAAACTGAAGAGGATATTCAAAGACATTAAAAAAAAAAAAAAAAAAACGATGAAAACATGAACTGCTGACATTTTTTTGCGCAGAATATATAAATTGCTTGGTAGTGGGATTTCTCTGGTGCTCTCCTTTTCTGGAAATAAAGAGGAACACCATTGAGATCATAGTAAAGTGACCCCCTCCTTTTATTGGTGTTAAAATGTACCCTTTGTTTGCATTTTCTTTGTTTTTTTTTTCTATTCTATTCTATTCTTCTTCTTTTTGTATTTTATTTCGAGTTTTTCTTCTTTTAGTGACTATTAGCGTTAGGTGTAACTTGAGATAGAGAGAGAGAGTGGCTGCACTAGAAAAGGAACACGTAAGAGCGAGAGGGACTGATAAGAGGAAAGGAAGAAAATAGCGTACATATATATATATATATATATATATATATTGGATCTTTATCATACAAATACCCAACACATTCAGGTGTTTTCGTATAAAGGAAAAGAAAAAAAAAATATATTATTTATAGAGGGCGTGTATAAGAAGGGAATATTGATACGAAAAGGAATACGAAAACGATCAAAACCCATTATTTATAGAGTACGTTATATTAATAAATCGTAAAAAAAAAAAAAAACAAGAGAATATGTTTTCTTATCTTCGTCAATCTTGGGAGACTGGAATGGAGGGACATCTCATTGAAGATATGATACGAACTGCATTTCGTGACTTTCCCCCATACGCGGGTGCGGATCAGCAGCAATTACGTTGTGTTCGTCGCCAGAGTGATGGAACGACTACCACTCTTGTATATGAAGAGGATGGTGAGTGGTCTGTGAATGTAGTGAATCCATATGTTGGCACAGTGGCGTTTACAACCACACGAGAAGTTCTGTTTGATTTGCGTGCACGTATTCCATTGCGATGGGGACGTAAAGAGAATAATAATAATAATAATAATAATAATAATAATAATAATAGCCCTAGTAGTAGTAATGATAACGATAAGGAGGCTACCACTATAAATAATAAAGAGGGTGATCATAGCGGTATGGATAGTTCTCATAATGCTACTGAATTAACCAATGAGAGTTCTTCTGTGAATAATAATAATAATAATAATAATAATAATAATAATAATAATAATAATAATAATAATAGACATCCTCGACGATTCTTTACATCTACGGCGATAAACCCTTCTTATCATACACCTGGCACGATTGGAGTGTTGGAATTACTCTTCTCTCCATCCTCCAAACGTCATGGTGTGGGACTCTCCCTTGGACCACTCTCTCTAAGAGCCACTACACTTCCCAATATGAATGCCAGTACACTAAATACTTCTGATAATTCCAAAACACCCAATAGTACTGCAGAAATGTATTATGGACTTTATAGAGGTCCATTTGTGATGGATGCCTCTTTATGTACATCTGTGCATAGTATACTTCCTAAGAGAGTTGCTGCCTTTTTACCATCCTCGTGTTATTTATTTACTGCTCTTCAACATCCTGTTGGGGCTACAGAAGGAGATACATTAAGTGCTATTTCTCTTCGTAGTATATCTCCAAATAGAAGACAAGCTATGAATAGTATTTATGATCATTATAACAATTTATGGGATAGTTGTGATGATTTTAATTTACTTGTGGTACAAACACTTATTTCGACTGGAAGATCACGAAATGGTTTAGATGATACTACGGTGAGTCGTAGTTCACTCTTAGCTCGTGATTCCAGTTGGCGAGATTTAGGTACATTGATTGGTGTAAGTAAATCTTTTAATGATGGACTTCTTCGCATAAGTGGATCTACATTATTTCATGAACGGGATACAGATTATGAGGCGGCTATTACTTTAGATGCCACCTCTATTCTTGCTAATCCCACATTATTAAAAATTGGAATGAATGGAATTGGCCGTGTGGGTGTTAGTATCGCGACGAGACTGTTTGATAGTCTCACCGTAACTCTTGGGATGCACCACACACGTGGAGCCGTGACTCGGTTTGGACTGGAGATTGCAGTCTAGTTCTTTACTCTTCTTCTTATATATATATATATATATATATTCTTTTTTCTTTTTCTCTCTCACTATCTCTCTTTTTTTGTGGATGAGTATGGAAAGAAAGAGAGGAGAAAAGGAAAAAGAAAACAGGGCAAGAAGGGTTATTCCTTCATACTCATTATCTTTACGCATAGAGTCCATTTGTAATTTCTATATTACGTGTTTCTGCATATATCACATAGAAGATGTAAAGGGAAGACGAGAGAAAAAAAGAAAAGAAAAAAAAAAGAGAATTGTGAGGTCTTTTTTGTTTTTTATTCTTTTTCTTTTTTTCCCAACACATATTTACACTTATTCCAATACACATATTCCCTATTTTCCTTATATATATATATATGTCTTCTTATTTCTCTTTCTATCTTTCTTTCTTTCTATTTGATTTGGTAATGGCAGCATCAAAGGATGGCAGGCAGGAGTACGGCACCCCATCAAACGCAAGAGTTGCGGAAATCTCAACAAAAAGTACGTGAATCTAAACAACAACAACAACAACTCAATCAAAGCAAACAACCACAACAACAACAACAACAACAACAACAACAACAATCACCACAAAAACAACAAGAGCAACAACGACAAAATGGAAAAGTGATAGCCAAACCATCATCTTCTTTATCTTCCTCTTCTTCCTCTTCTTCTTCTTTTATTGCTGTGATGCTGCAAATGGCTGTCTGTGTTGTTGGGATTTATGTTTGTTTTGGTCTCTGGTCTATTAAACAAGAGCGTGTGGTCACCAAGCCGTATTATCCTGCTGAAGTGAATGGAAAGATGGGTGAGGGATCAAAGTTATCTACTGTCTTTGTGCTTGGATTTGCTCAGGCCTCTGCGGCTGTCTGTGTGGGTTTACTCTTGTTACTATCTCAATCTTTACATGCTCGATTTTCTTCCACTGCGAAGGTAAATAAACAAACCGACAAGGAAATAATAATAACAACTGCAAAGACAAATACCAAAACTGTATCCATCACACCCACAACGACGAAAAAGAAGTTGACATCCTCATCCAAGTCAAAGGAGGATACTCATCATCATCATCATCATGATAAGAAAACAATATTTAGTAAACATCGTCATACATTACTTTTAACTATTCTTATGGGCTTTACAAATGCCTTTGGCTCAACTTTGGGATATGCGGCGATGCGACGACTTCCCTATCCTGTTGTTCTCGCTACTAAAATGTCTAAAATGGTTCCTGTTATGTTAGTGGGTTTCTTTTGGTATGGAACTCGTTATTCCCTTGGTAAGTGTATGGCTGCCGCTCTCATCACAGGAGGAGTTCTCTGTTTTTATTTACTGGAGGAAGTTCATCATCCACATCAGAAGAGTAAACCCAATAGTAGTAATAGTAATAGTAATAATAATAGTAGCACGACTGGACCAACAGCTTGGATAGGGTTTTTCTTACTTTTTCTGAATCTCCTCACCGATGGATTCACCAACTCCACACAGGATGTACTTGTGAAGACCCAACGTTGGACTGGGAATCAACTCATGGTATTTACCAATCTCTCTAGTGGATTATGGTTAGCGCTTGTGTTGATCGCATTGGAAATCCTTCATCCACTCACCACACTATGGCTGGAAACAGAAACTACTCCTAATATGCAAACAACACTCTTTTCACCTCTTCTCATGTATGTAGATTCCATCATACGATGGTTACTACGTGAAGTGGCTCCATTGCAGGACTTTTCACACACATGGCGTTTCTTTCAACGACATCCAGATGCCATGTATGATGTGGCAGTGATGAGTTGTATGAATGCGGTTGGGCAAATATTTGTTTTCCGCACCATTACACTCTTTGGCACACTTACATTAACGGCGTTAACACTATTACGAAAGTCTGGTAGTGTGGTCTTATCTATATTAGTGCATGGCCATCATGTGGCCTTTGGACAGTGGCTGGCGTTAATTGCCGTATTCGCCGGGGCCGTCTGGGAAGGGCTTATGCACGCACGGAAGACACCTGCAAAGAAAAAGACCGCGTGAATAAATAAAAAAAAAAAAAAGAAAGAAATAGAAAGAGGAATAGGTGAAGGAAAAGAAGAGAATTACTAGAAAGAGAGAATTATTATTATTATTATTATTATTATTATTATTAAATAAATAAAAAGAAAGAGAGACATGTGTCCTGACAATACATTTGTGTAGTGGGCACCTTGAGTGACAGTATTCATGGGGTGATGATGTTGATGGATGAAGAGAAAGAAATGATGTGGGGAAGTTTATAGAGAAACTTTTCTAGATAGTTTCTCTATAAACGAGTACAAACTAACCTATATATATATATATATATAGATGTATGGATGTATGGAAGCATGAATAACATTACACACATGGAGATGTATAGATGCATGTATTTAAACTGCACCTCTACATATATAGCTAACAGTTGTGCGTGTTGGCTTCATGTGGGAGATGTTTTCTTTTCTTTTTTTTTTCTGCAGATTATATTTGCTCTTTAATTGCTATTGCTATTATTTTTTTCTTCTCTCTGTGTGTGAGAGAGAGAGAGTCATTTGTTGTTGTTGTTGTTGTTCCCTTTACTTCCACCAAGCATCCCTCTGCATTCTTCTCTCTCTCTCTCTCTCTATATATATATATATATTCTCTTGTCAACTCCAATTATTAGTTCATTTTTATGCCCTATTCATCGTGTAAAAAAAAAAAAGAAAAATAAATGTGTTCTCTTTCTTCTTTCTTTTATTTGCTATTTGCATTCTTCTATCATTGTTGAATTCCATAGGACTGCTGTTAACATTTTTTTTTTTTTTTTTCCCTCACATATGCCAAAGACAACTTGGCTGTGATCATGCCTTTATTGTTTGCTTGAATTTTTCCTTTGTGTGTGCGTTTCGCATACCACTCTCTCTTTCTTTCTTTCTTTCTTTCTTTGTGTATATCTCTGAAGAAAAGAAAAGAAAAAAGAAAAAAAAAAGCAGTCCCTTTTTTTTCCTCCTTCTTCTTTTTTGCTTTTGTTTTGTTTTTTTTCTTGTTTTGTTACATTTCTGTTTTTCTCTTTGAATATGATTGAATGATGGATGAATAGGGCTTCTTTTTTTTTTTTTTGTTTTTTTTTTATTATTCATGTTGCTTGTGTACATCTATGGTAGTCTGACTGCCTTTGTGGAGACTTGGAGAGAAGAAATATGTTAGTTTTTACAGCTAATAATAATAGTAATGATGTGGAATAGCAACTAAAAGAAGAGAAAGGGGAGAAACTCCTGTTTGGTAGAAGTATATATATATATATATTGAGATCTCGTGGTTTGTAGGCTATTCTCTTTTATTGCTGTTGTTGCTTCTCTTGTTTTTGTTGGGAGAATGTGGACAGAAAGAAAAGAAAGAAGGGAAAGTATTAGAGTGATGATATCAGAGGAGTAGCTGAAGAATAGAGTAAAGTGGGCGGGAGATGAATTGTGGGGCAATGACACACAAGAGAGAAAAGAAAGAGAGAGATGATGATGATGATGGTGGGAAGGGAGGTGAGAACTGCTCATACCTCAGAAAAATATATATATTCTTATTATTATTATTATTATTATTAT